GTCTTCTTCTGCAGGCTTCTTCTGCTTCTTCTCCTTCTCCCTATTGTTGTTATTATTCTGTTTCTCCTTATTCTTCTTCTTCTCCTCCTCCTTCTTCTTCTTCTGCAAGCTTCTTCTTCTGCAGGGACAAAAGGTGGAAGGGGCGCGCTCGGTCCGAAGTCGGTCGTATCTTACGGTAGGAGGTACGCAACTTCCCTGCTACACCAGGCCGGTGGCTACCATGCACCCTATCACAGTATGGCTATCGTGGGCTGGTGCCCAGTACTGCGCGGACACTGACACCAACAGCGAGTCACCCCTCAAAGCCCTCTGCACGCTTCTCGGCATCTCTCTCCCTCTCTCTGTCTCTCTGCCTCTCTCCCGCTTCCTTCCTGCCAGTGCTCATGGCCCTTTCAGGAGGGGAGGCGTACCGGGGTCTGACTATGAGTGTCTCTCTCTCCCTCTGCCCTTTCTTTTTGTGGGGCCATGGGGCTTCATCGCGAGCCGCCACGGTCTTTGGGGAAACAGCTCGCGATCACTGCGTGACGGTCCCTTTGAGAACAGCCCCCCCTACTATAGGTCCACCAAGAGGGGGGTCCTGAATTCGGGGATCGCGAGATCCTACCGGAAGAAGTGCATGACCCAGCCTGCCATCTTAAGTCAAGCCTGGTAGTCTCGTCTTCAGCCGGGGCACTTGTGGGATCGGCTTTTCCTCATCGCTGGCCCACGTGGTCGAGGAGCCACTGCCTCAGAGCACTGCCAGGGGACCACAACAAAAGCCGGGGAGGCAGTAAGACCAGAGCACGTGAAGAATCCGGGCTCAAAGAACCGTAGCTAACGGTAGGGGGGTAAAAGAGAGAGAATTTGGGGATTCGAGGCTAGAGAAACCTGTAAAAGCTGTCTGTGTACAAGCTGTGCGAATCATGATCTACCTGGAGGTTCATGGGTACTTGGAAGTAGAGATATATAAGTACCCTGAATAGGGTTTTAAGTCTGGCTACCATACTTGCAACCCTACTTAGAACTACCCATGAACCTCCAAGTAACCCTGAGCCCTAAACCCTAAACCCTAAACCCTAAACCCTAAACTCTAAACCCTAAACCCCAACAACTCAGGACCAGCACCCTGAAGCCAAGGGCAGCTTCGGTGCTATCGGTCTGGTGCATGTCGACTGTATTTGTATACGCCCAGAACACGTCCGGTTGATGGCGAAAGTGCCTCAAGCGGATTCATGCGGTTTAGGGTTTAGGGTTTAGGGTTCAGGGTTGAGGGTTGAAGGTTGAGGGTTCAGGGTTTAGGGTTTAGGGTTTAGGGTGCAGGGTTGGGGGCTCGGGTTTGGGTGTGCAGTTTGCAGCCGTTTTAAAGGTCTGCTGACCGCAAGAACCCATGCAAGATCAAGTTCTACTCAAGCTCATCGGCTCGTAGACATGAAACTACCTGTTGAGAAAGTCCTTGCGGGTGTCGAGACCCAAACCCTAAACCCTAAACCCTAAACCCTAAACCCTAAACCCTAAACCCTAAACCCTAAACCCTAAACCCTAAACCCTCAACTTAAGAGTTCTGTGCTTTGCTGTGCCTCGGAGGCTCCTGGGTCAGGAGGGCTTGGGAGTGCTTGCAGCTTCGGCAAAGGCCCCGGTGAGATCAGGACAACCAAACCCTAAACACGAATAACCTCAAGAACCCCCGGCCCCAGAAGCCCTAAACCCTAAACCCTAAACCCTAAACCCTAAATCCTCAAGAAGTCGAACCTTAAAGAAACCCAAACCTCTCAGGTCCAGGATGCTGAAAATTCCCCAGTCGTGTTGACATTGCACTGAGAATGCAGTGGCTATCTAGCAAATGCCTTGAGCAAACACATCTGCCGGTGACCAGGGTTCCAGAGGTGCACAGAAGCACCCATGTGGGGAGAGGCTACCGCTTCAAGCTTGGGCAGGGATTTAGGGTTTAGGGTTTAGGGTTTAGGGTTTTGGGTTTTGGGTTTAGGGTTTACCGAAGGTCTTGAGTTTGTGGCTCCTGAGAGGTTCAGGGCATCAGCAACCCCAATGCCGGCACAAGACATGGAGGCAGAAACCCTACGAAATCCAATTACAGCCTACTAAACCCTACTATACCCCTACTAAACTTACTAAACCCTACAAAACCCTACTCTACCCTAAACCCTACTCAACCCCCCCCTTTTTGACATGTCAGAGCCTCTTTCAGACACCTACGGAACCCCCCCCAGGCTTGAAACTGAGGGCCGGTCAGGGGTGCCAGGCATTGGAGGGCATCGGAGGCAACCCCGAAACCCTAAACCCTAAGCCCTAAACCCCCTAAACTCTAAACCCTAAACCCTCAACCCTAAAACCCCCCTAAACTCTAAACCGTAAACCCTGAGCCTTTTTTTTGGGCGGATTTCGGATTCAGCGCTCTGTGTATTCTGAGAGGACGGCAAGTCCAGGAACTCCGGCACGCAACTCCGGAACCAGTCACCCTAAACCCTAAACCCTAAACCCTAAACCCTGAACCCTAAACCCTAAACCCTAAACCAATCGCTGTATGCTCACAACGGCCGAGGCTAGAGGAGGCTTCGCAGGTGGGCGCTCCCGAGCCGCGCCGAGCTCTGCATCGCACGGCCCCAACTCGCCCCGCACGTCTTTCAGACAAAAAATCCCAAATAAGCCACAAAAAACCCTAGAAACCCCATGAAAAAAATCTAGAAACCCTAAAAAAAACCTGAAAAGGCATGGAAGACCCCCAAGCCTGTGAATAACCTGCGCGAAGCTCGGCGCGAAGCTCGCAAGGTCGAACATCCAAGTGCCGTGGGAAGGGCCCCCCAAGGTGCCCCAACAGCCAAGACCCTCAACCCTCAAATCCTAAACCCTAAACCCTAAATCCTAAACCCTAAATCCTAAACCCTAAACCCTAAACCCTACATGAGGCCTTCAGCCCGAGGCCCGGGCCTGAGGATCTGTGAATCCTCTCGAAAAAGGCCTGCAATTACGAGGTGACATGTCAGGCTTTCTTGCGTGCTCCCTTCATATCTTTTCCGTTATCTGGAGCTCATGAGCTGAAAATACATAGAGTTCGTGCATGAGTTTCGCGTGTTCACTTCTTTCACGCGCTGTTTAAACGCAAGATACTCAGTAAACGCCGTAAAATTTAATGTAATCTTACTCACTCGCGGGCTACAACTTTAATATTCATGAAATGACCGCGCAAAACACCCATTAAAAGGTAGAAGATGTAACGCACAAGATAGTATTACTGGACATGCGAAAGACCCCCTAACAGTAATGGAATTCCAGTAATTTGCTACATCTTATTGAGTGGATGTTTTTGCATCCTTCCGCTCGCCGGGAAATGAACAACGCTCGCTAAGTTCTTTATCTTGATACGTTATCTTGGTTCACCGATGTCCTAACCTTGATCCTGTAACGCTTCGTTGTCCCTCACAATCATCTCTTTATGAATTGAGCCTCTTGCCCACAAGAACATGCAGTTAATTCATACACGCTCATCAATTCCTTTGCCTTTACTATCCGTACGGGTTCTATTTATATCAATTGGGATGCACGTGCTTACATGTCTTTGATTTTTGGAATAGTGCAAAACAGTGAGGCCGCGAGCGGGCTTTTAGTGCATTTCATGACCCTTGTAATGTGATCCAGATATTCATTATGAAAATGCGTGATTCAATATGGTAAATTAAGAATGTTCAATCTCTAGCTCAGAACCATAAACGCATGATTCGTCCGTGCTCATTGTGTTCACTCACTCATTCATGAAAGCAAAAGAGGGAATTCCTAGCAACTTAATATAATCCAACATCCAGAACATGCCCAACAAGAAAGCTTCACTCGTGAGGGCGTATTTGGTGCGGTTATGCTCTTCCTCGGTCTTTATCTACGAGCGAATGAAGATAAGGAGTGAGAGAAGTTGTTATATCACAACCGAACGAAGTAAACCACAACATGCAATAACAATAAGATAATATTGATACTTTGGGCTGTTCCCCCTTATACTAACAGTCCTTAGTAGGGATGTGAATAGAGGTACCTTACTCCCTATTAAGCACGGTTAGTATGCGGGGGAACGTTAACAAAACGACTAAAATGATGCACGCCCAAATACTAGTACAACATACTATCTACAGTCTCATAGTACTAGGGGAATCTTTGACTAGGAATCTTATGCTTGCACCTTCATTCATACTACTATTTTGCAAGGAATGAAGCTCCAAAGTGCGGTACAAACGTTTGTCAATCCAAACGGCCCATAGTTAATCGACTTCGTGCTGGATGTCCCTCTTTTCACCCTGAACTCAACAAACCCTAACCCTAAACCCTAAACCCTAAACCCTAAACCCTAAACCCTAAACCCTAAACCCACGGAGCCCTGCCTGGTCCTCGCTCAAGCAGCCAGCCGAAAGCACATCCAAGGAATCAAAGCCGAAACAGCCGCAGCGAGAGCCCTTCAGAGGGCGCGCCCCACTGTGCCCAAAATGGGGGGGTCTCCGAAAAAAAGGGTTTAGGGTTTAGGGTTTAGGGTTTAGGGTTTAGGGTTTAGGGTTTAGGGTTTAGGGTTTTTTGGGAAAGACCCAAGTCCCTGCGACATGCGGAGCCTCGATCGGACAACTCAACTTCGGGGGCACGCCTCGACTTCGCCGTTGCTCAGAGCCCCTGCGCGGCTCAATGTGAGTCTTCTTTTGGTATCTTGGCTAATAGGTATCCTGCAAGGTGAAACAGAACCCGATTGTGCACGGCAAGCATTGGACGAGGACACAAGCCTGTCTCTTCTCAAGTCATCCATGAAGCAGCGGAGGACTGCGACAGCACATGGTGACATGGCCCCATGTGCTGCCTCGTCTAATTAATATTTATCTATATATATATATATATATATATATATTGTGTATTAGAGATTATTATATATGACTATATACATATATATATATATATATATACTGCCTCTACTTCTGTGCTCATGCGACAAGCCGCGGAGACCGCCATGTCTGCAGAGGGTGGGGGCATCGTCTGGCCTAGACCTTCACGTAGCCGAGCTCGGGCGTGGAGCCTCCAGAGTTGTCGTGAAACAAGGCATAACCATGGTTGATGAACCACGTGGTAAACTCCTCGCGGTAGCCGTGCACTTCGGCCAAGATCTGCTGTATGTCGGCGTTGGCATCCAGCCAGTGCTGATACGTCTGCCACTCGCAGCCCTCACCTAGTTCATTGTTGGAAAAACATTAAGCATTTTAATGTCTATTCCTTGTTGGGTTTAAGTACCCTTTAAAAATGTAAAATGTTACCCAACTATGACAAAGTCACAGTCAATCTTGAGAATGTGGATGGTGCGGCCCTCGTGCCCGAGCTCCTTGATCAGGTGCCCAATGTTCCTCTGCGGAGAGATGCGGGCGACGTGGAAGTTGACGTAGTCCGGATTCCGGGCATGCGGGTAGCCGGGGTTGTAGTTGGGATCTAGGTAGTGCTCGATGGGGTTCGCGTCAAAGGTGTGGATCTCACAGTGGGGGGACAGCTTCTCATGAATGGCCCTCTCAAAGGAAAACTCGCCGTCACTCCCAATGGAATAGACCAAGCAGTTGCCAGCCTCTGCTGCTGCCTTCATAGGGGGCGGAAAGCAGGCTTAAGGCCATAAGGGTTTAGAGTTTAGGGTTTAGGGTTTAAGGGTTAAGGGTTTAGGGTTTAGCGTTTCGGGTTTAGGGTTTAGGGTTTCGGGTTTAGGGTTTAGGGTTTAGGGTTTAGGGTTTAGGGGCGCTTGGTTTTGTGCATTTCCGGGCTGCCATGACAGACGGGAGCTTTCATTGCCCTGCGATCTGCCAAACATGAGACATCCCTTCGAACAACCATGGCTGCTGTTTTGAGATGCCGGTGGGCTTGACAAGCTTGGGTAGGTGGGTTTTCGGCACATGCCAAGGATTCGAGCGCAAGTTGCTCAGTCCGCGATTAAGAAGCAGAAGTCAACCAGCCAGGACCGTTAACCTCAGATTCAAGCCTGACATGAAGCGCTCATCTCCCCTCCCCAAGTAGAACATACTTGGAGCCTCATGAGTACTTTTAAGTAAGCTGAAAAGTACACAAACCAGGGCAATGAGTAGATTCCCATACTTGGACCCTACTGACTTCTAAGTAGCACGTATGAACCTCCAAGCCCTCTTGATATTGTATTTATATTATTTCTATTCTGTTCTATTAACTTATATTATATTAACGAAGCCTTGATGGCGCCAGGATTGCAGACCCACCGCCCACCATCCCCAACAGGAAGCTTGCCACGCTCCTGGCGCATTCGGTGGTCAGGGCTTGCGTTGACCCTAAACCCTAAACCCTACACGCTACCCCTAACTTAAATCCTAAACCCTAAACCCTAAACCTACACCCTACACCCTAAATTAAACCCTAAACCCTAAACCCTAAACCCTAAACCCCTCCTTCGGGGGGTTCTTAGCTTTTTGAAATTCAGGTCTCTCCTTGTCAGTAAAGTAGCCCCCGAAGAACCGCGACGCGCACTGCCAGTTCCTCGAGTTCACGAGGTTTCGGGTTTGGGGTTTGGGGTGTAGGGTTCAGGGTTCAGGGTTCAGGGTTTAGGGTTTAGGGTTTAGGGTTTAGGGCTTAGGGTTTAGGGTTTAGGGTTTAGGGTTTGGCTCTGACAAAGGCCTTCAGCACATAAGTTCAGGTTAGGAAAATGGAGGCTTTTGGGTCTTAGAGCTTCTTGGGCCACCCAGCTCGAGTGGGGGCTTAGGGTTGGGGACCCTCGGACTTCAAAACGCCCCCAAGGCTCATGCGCTTCTTGATCTCTGCGCGGCCCAGCATCACGCCATGCTCAAACGGGAATCTGTACGTCTCAGGGACCGGCGCCGTCGAAGGCTCCGCTGAAGGCTTTCCCTGGGCCTGACAGGGTGGCAGCCCGAAACCCCAAACCTCAAAACCCCAAACCTCAAATCCCTCACCCTAAACCCCTAACCCCGACACCCCTGAACCCTAAACCCTAAACCCCGACCCTAGACCCTGGGTTTCTCAAGGTGAGTGACGCCGAACACATACCCCCAAAACGTCAAAACCATGAGGAATCTGCCCTCAACCTCCAGTCCCAGACTCAACCCTCAAGCCCAGATGCCTACTATGGAGGTTCATGGGCTCTTGTAAATGAAGGTCTTAGTGCCCTGAGGCTACAAGTATAGCCACCATACTCATAACCCTACTTCTAAGTACCCGCTGTACCCACCCTAGACCTAAACCCTAAACCCTAAACCCTAAACCCTAAACCCCAAACGGGGGACGCATCCCAAGATGCCCTGGCCCCTGGCCTGCGAGTCGAGCTGCCTCAGCGGGCAGGGTGCCAGGCCCCAGCGTCCCGGCGCCCCCAAGGTGTCCTGCAGGCGCGAGACAGGCGCTTCTCACATCCGATCCCAACCCAAAAACCACCACGACACGAACCCCCAATACTAAGGGCGTAGTTTGGGGATAATTACTGGAGCCTCTTAGGGCGCCTTGAAAGCAGAGTGGGGAGTTCTGGGGATCCGGTCCGCACCGATGCTAATTACAACTCCAAAGCAGAGCGCCACCACCACACCAGCAACCACGACGCAGAGCTGCCATCCCCGCGCCATGGGCTTCAACACCACAAGCCTCCCTCAACGATTTTTGCTGGCCTTTCTTTTGCAACCTTGCTAGCTTGAACCGTATCCTGTACAACAAGCAGGACTTCATGGCTTGCTTGGGTCCGGGCAGTCAGTGCATAAGTGAGTACTTGCTGCTACCATGGTCTCTTGCACTGTTGTACAAATGGCAAGAACATGGATAGCCAGGTTTGCACATTTGCATGCATGCACAAGCGACCGCTTACAAGCAAACTGTCACGGAGAATGACGGCAAAGCGGGTTTCGATTTGTGGTTTAATAGACAACCCTCGTAATCTCCATTCTCTTATCCTCCACTTGCTCTATGTTGGTCAAAGGATGTGCAGTGCAAAGCGTAACAATCGAACGCGCGCTGCAATGTGACTGGAGACAAAGTGCATTGCGACTGATCAGAACCAGACTCGTGTCTCAACATTGATTCAAAAATGAAGAATGCTTAAGCGGCAATGACTGGCAACGTATAACTTGCATGGTGACCGGTCAAGCTTGCAACAGGACTACTCGCAACTTAAAACTGCGGCTGGTCGACGTGTCTGCAATGCGAATTGTCGATGCATGTTCTGTGTAGAACAAAGACAATGGTGAGCGTGTGACTGCAATGCCAGTGGTTGAAACTTGCACTGCGATTGATCAACGCACAACTTGCATTCTCGCTGTTGAATACTTACAACTGGTTAGATACGACCCAAGTGCTGACCAGTCACGTGCTGGAACCATCCACGTCTTAGAATCAACTGACAGTGGCCGACACAATCAAAGCAAGACGCAGAGCACCGAACATAGTGCAAACGCGGATTGTGGCGTGCAAAAAACTGCAAGTTGACGAGCGGGTGCACGACACAAGGACACCATGCGAGATGCACGCCTTGCTTCCGAAAAAGCATGAAGCAACTTCTTCCAAGATAAGCTCCCCGGCTTTCGCAGGCAAATAGCTTGAGAAATCATCACTAGAACTTTTTGGCAACGCAAACATCCTAAAGTCTGAGATGCCTCACCCCTCTCAAGAGATGCCAAGCGAGCAACTACCCGTCGTGAAAGATGACAAACCTGAGTACGCACCTTGCAACGAGATGGACCTTTTGCCCTTGGCAAGTGCACCCATCAATTCGTCAACTTGAGTGTTGAGTGACACTTCAAACTACCAAGCATCGACATGTAGAAGGGCATTTGGTGGTTCATGGATGGTAGGGTTATACACAAAACTATGTAACCTCCAAATAACATCATCTGAGCTCAAGCAGCAGGCTTTCTTGTGAAAGAAGAAGATCACGAGCTCATGCGGAAAAAAGGGCCCTGAAGTCTGAAATCCTCAAACCCCCCCTGCGCAGCTTGGCGTTGCATGACATGAGAACATTATGGATACGGAGCTCTATATTTGCACATGTATGTGTGTATATATATATATATATATGCATATAAACATATAGGCACACACCTGTATTGTGCATTCCCCCAGAATAGGGTTTCCCCTTGATGTACACAGAAAAAGCCGCACGACTATGTTCGCAATGGCACCAGGTTGCGCTACACGTGGAGGTGCAGTCCTCTTGAGACCCAGTACCCTAAACCCTAAACCCTAAACCCTATAAACCCTAAACCCTAAACCCTAAACCCTACCATAGCATTGCGAGAGGCCTGGTGAAGGGAGCAAAGCGCTGGCGCTGTCTTTGAATCACGAGCAGGCGGAAAGTCGATCTTGAGATATCTTGAAAGTTCTTCCCTCTGCAAGAAGGAGAGATGGTGTTCCGCGAAATCTCAAGCTGGTTGCTGAATCGGGCACAGGCATCTCACAAAGCTTTGTCCGGCCAGGGTTCTGGTGCAAGCCCCTGTGTTGACGTCCCACAACTTAATGCTGGAATCTCGACTTCCGGTGGCAAGGCAGGAAGCCGTGAAAGCACAAATGGAGTAGAGTCCAAGCGCGTGCCCTTGAAGGGTCTTGCTGCAGGTACCGGCAACACAATCCCAGACTTTTGCTGTGCCATCCTTCGAGGCACTTGCAACCGCAGTCTGCGAGAGGCGACATACGTCTTGCACGTCATCGGTGTGCCCTAAAAACCTCCGCGAGCAGAAACCGGATGGCACATCATACAACTCTGCAGCGTAAAGGGAGACCCCCACGACCAGGCTCGTGGGCGACAGGGCGCACATCGTGCGTGAAAGGGGTCCCAACGAGCGGATGCTGCGGCCAGCTGTGATGTCCCATATGCGGATTCCGGCAGTGCTACAGCTTGCGAAAGTCGTTGGTGTCAGTGGGCACACCGTGTGGACAAATGCGTCATCAACAGGCAGATGCTGATATCGACCTGAAACGAGGTCCCAGATCTTGACGGCGCTGTGCTCTGCGCTTGCCAGGGTCCTTGGGCTAAGTCTGCAAACGGAGCGGATGGCCCAGTACGCATAGAGTGTGGTGATGCAGGTGCCATGCTCAAGGTCCCACAGCTTGATGGTCTGGTCTGCACTGGAGCTAGCCAAGGTCGCGGACGAGACGCAGCACAGAGAGAAGGGGATGTCCCGATGCCCGCGGAGTTGCGATTTCGTGACGCCAGCGTTAACATCCCAGATCTTGATGACCCTGTCGTCGGCCCCGCTGGCAAGCAGGACCTGCCCGTCGACCACGTTGGCCCCATCGTTGGCCCCATCATCGGCCCCATCATTGGCCTCATTGGGTTCATTGACCTCCGCCTCCATCGCCTCCATCGCCTCGGCGTCGGCCTCCTCCTCCACAAACGCGACCTCATCCGGGGCAAAGAGCGCTTCGTCGCCTACCTGCGGGGGAGGAGGCCCACCCGGCACCGGTGCCGGAACGAAGGCTTGTGCTTCCCTCGCTTCCCTCGCTTCCCTCGCTTCCCTCGCCTCGCGCTCCTTCTCCACTTGAGCTCTCAGCCGCTTCACCTCTTTGACCAACGCGGAGATGTGTCCCTTCGTGTGCTTGCAGTGCCGCTTCATGTCCCGCTCATGGACCATCTCTCCACAGAGGACGCAGGGCTCCAGCCGGCCCCTGCAGGTCTTCAGGTGCTCGGAGAGCTGGTGCACCGTGCACTGGGTCTCGCACTTTGGGCACGAGACCCGGCGGTTGGGGCAGCTGCGAAGATGGGAGGCTTTGTCGGCCAGCGTGATGTTGACCCCGCAGTCGTTGGGGCACTTCAGCATCAGGTTCATGATGGTCCGCCGATCGAAGTGTGCGGCGGCAACAGTGGAGGAGTCGGTTCGGCAGCTGGGGCACCGGGTATCTCGGGTCATCCAGTTGGTCCAGCAGCCCTGGCAAAACAGGGATGCGCCGCAGTCGTGTGAGACAGCGTCCCTGGCAACCAAACAGCAGATGGGGCACTTGAACTTCTCGATCTCCTCCGGGGAGAGCCACTCCTCATCATGACCGCACTCGTCGAAGACCCGCCGAAACCTGGGGCTGCGACTCCGACTTGCCATGGCGCCTCCTCTTTACATCCCCCCTGGCCGAGCAACAATGAACAAAAACCATCATCATACAACCATAGGAATACTAATATCATGAAGCTCCCCTAGTGACGAGTTAGACCGTAGTCTTGTGTCGCCAACGAGCTTCTGAATGCCCTGCAGCGGAGTGCGATCTCGTGACAATGTGAGGCTCAAGTACAGGAGTTCTGAAAGCCCCGCTTTGGCCAGCATCAAGTAGACAATCGGCCTCGGCTTCCGGCCGACGGGCGTCTGAAACAAGCTAAGGATCTCCCCTTTCTAACCCCTCTCCCCCCATTCCTGCCGGTGGGCGCGTCTCACTACTGCAGGAGGCACTGCACCCATATTCGGATTTGCTGGGCGACACGAAACGCGTGGAAAACCCCCCGGATCGCCTGGGAGGCCATTTGCGCAGCTGCTTCGTTCGACTGAGGCTTGCGGCGCGATGGGAGCACTGAGCATTTCTTGCACAGCCTGCAGGAGGCAGCGCAAGCAAGCGTTTCCCACGGATACTTCTTGAAGCGGGCTGCTACCCACAAACCTGGCCGGTCTGTGCTCGAAAATGTATACACACCCCAGAAGAGCTCTCGCCATAGCTACTACAGTGATCCTACTTGTAGCACTACTTTAGAACTGCACGCAAAACCCCCCAACCCTAAGCTCCTTGCTGCTTTCACCCTATCAGGCCGCAATGAAGAATTTGCGTGTGCATCAAGGTGTAAGGACCCAGAGTTCGGGGTTGCGGGGTTTAGGATTTGCGGGTCTCAGGGTTCGGTGTTCGGGGTTTTACAGTAGAGTTTGCGGGTTCAGGGATTCGGGTGTAGTCCAGGTACATATTCGGCACATACGAGGGTTTACGAAAAATAGGGGACCCCCAATATAGATCCCCAAATAGTAGGATCCCCTTAGAATCAGGGCCCCAATAAGGTAACCCGAATATCGCAAACCCATATTGGGTACCCCTGGTGAGGCAGCCGCCCTGCATTTGTGGGGACTCTCCGCCTTCGGGGAAGCCCTGAACCCAACCCCCTAAACCTTACAAACCCCAATCCTTGATTTCTAGATACCGCTTTGGACGTTGTCCCCAAGTGGTGAGATTTCTACGGCTGGCGCACTTTCGCGCGGCCGCAGGAATCAGCGAAAATTTCCCCCACGGCAGAAAATCTCTGTGCACACGCGTAGGGTGTGAGAACGGGATGCGAAAATTGTCTCAATTATCCTGTGAAGATGACGCCATGGGGCAGCAAGGGAAAATGCTTCCGCACGCAACGGCAAAAGAAGCTTCTTAAAAACGAGTGCTCTTCTGTGCTCTTCTGTTCTTGCTACCTGAGACCGGATGTCCAAAACCGAATCTTCGCAAGTGGCGCCCAGGAGCCCCCTGGCCCTAAACCCTAAACCCTAAACCCTAAACCCTGAACCCTAAACCCTAAACCCTAAACCCTAAACCTTTGCAGGTCGTGGCCTCCTGGCCATCAGGTGGCCAACCATCCAAAATGTCTTGTACGCTTCCAGGGCCAGGCGATTCCTACACTGTTTAGAGGGCGCGTTCCGGATGGTGGGAGGTTTACGATACTTATGTGGTACCTTATAGGTGGGGTCTTTATGATAAGGAATCCTACCTATGTTGGAGGGTTATTTTGGGGTGTCCCCTATGTTCGTAAACCCCCATATGATGTTCTCAAGGCCTTGGCAGGCTTGGGGGAAGCCTCGGGCGTGAACTGACGATGGTCGCAGGGTTCAGGGGGGGGGGGGGGGTTCTCTCAAGAAAAGCGCCGAGGTTCTCTGGGAATGGGTATGGTGCGCCCAACCTCTCTGCCACAGCCAGGCCCGAAACGACCGCAATGTCGTGGGTGTTGATCAGCATCCACGAGCCGGCATAGTACGTCCGAGTGCTCTCCACCGCACTCCGCCGGTGGAGCAGCCACACAAAGGGGACCACCCACCGAAAGTGCTTCCTATACTCCCCTTAGAAACCTTAATAAAGATAATATGTTTAATATCCTCTTGGGTCTTATATAAACAAAATTTCAAAAAAAATCCCAAGGGGGGTATAGCTTCATGGTGTGAGCGAAGGCATGCCACCAGGACTTGTCGATGATCAGGGACTCCTTGATCTCGGCCAGGGGCCACAAGTCCTCCTTCCTCTTCCTCGGCATGTTTTTAGAAGAATGGCCCGAATGGCCCCGCGTGAATGAGTTGAATACATCTCCTGCTGGGGGCTACATGGGCTACTTCTCTACCAAATCCCTGGGATAGAACAGAAGCCATCCCAGCAACATCTGAAAAAAAAAGAAATAATAATACTAATAATAATAACAAGAAAAGTAAGAATGGCTACTGAGCGAGGCTTGGCTTCTTGTCCAGGAAGATGGTTTGGAACACTCGGCGGCGGTCCTCGCCCCTCAGGCGGACCCCGTCCCGAATGCTTTGCTGGTACCCAGAGAGGTCGAAACCCATCTCCAGGAGCTTGGCATCTTCCTGGTAGGTCTTGATGAAGTAGATGGCCTGCGGGACCGGTCTCTGGTGCCAGCACTACAGCCTGTAGTCACTAGGTGGCACAAAGAGGCTGTGCGAAAAAGGCACCAAGAGAAGCAGCCGGCCTTGCCATCCACCTCGAAATGCTTCTTCATGTAGTCTTCGTCGCAGTGCGTGACCGAAAGGTCATGGAAATACTCCACCGAGCCAAGGACCCTTCGCTCCCAGAAGGTGGCCAGATCTCCAATAATCTCCAGGGCGATATTCGCCGGGCACGCAAAGACAACGTCGTCAAAATCTTCCTGCCAGGTGGGCGGGCTAGCCTTCGACGTCGCAGGCGGCGCCTGCGACGAGAGCCGCAGTTGGTCGCCCCCGGCGCGGAAATCTACGCCCCCACAGTCGGTGAGGTTGGAGATCCTAGTTCGTTGTTGGGATACTCCCAAAAGATGCAATTTTATAATCCTTAGTGGGTTTAAGTACCCTTCAGCATGCAAAATGCTATCCAACTAGGACCAAGGATCCTCAGGGTCACTCCCTTGGAGCTCCGCTTCAGGACCTTCTCCACCCGGTGCTTGGTCAGGATGCGCACACCCCGCGACTCCAAGTAGGGCCTCATCTTCTGATACCCTTGTAACCCTAAACCCTAAACCCTAAACCCTAAACTCTGATTTTAGCCACTACACGTAGGGCCTCATCTTCTGGTTGTAGAACTCGTCCAAGCTCCGGAAGGAGAAGTTGGTGGGCTCGCTGTCAATCAATCCTTAAGGGTCTCTGAATCCACGAAATGGTTTAGGGTTTAGGGTAGTTTAGGGTTTAGGGTTTAGGGTTTAGGGTTTAGGGTTTAGGGTTTAGGGCTTAGGGCTTAGGGTTTAGGGTTTAGGGTTTAGGGTTTAGGGACCTTGGCCTTCTTGCTGAGTAGGGTGCACTAAACTGCCAGACTTGGGAAGATGCAACACGAAGCTGAAAAAAGGGGGCAAGGAAGCAAGCGGGGGCGCGAGATTTTGAGGAATGAAGCTTTTGGAGCTTGCAGGAACCTCTAAACAGAGCCGGGTGTCGCTTCGGAGAGTATTCGAAGAGTGCCAGGGAGGGATCATTGAACACCCGCGCCACAATGGCAGCCGACATGTTGGGGGTCTGATTGCCGGTGCCAAAGAAGAGTGCAACTAGTGGATAGACCATGCGCTCACGAAACTCTTGAGAGAGCCGCGACCACTTCATGACCGTGTCAATGGAGAGGAAGAGCGTGAGAAACTCGAGTCTCGATATCCACTTGATGAGCCTCCCAAAACGCTGGATATCAGGTTGAAGCCGCTGTTGCAGCCCAGAATCTTCGTAGTTGCTCCAATGGTACTCGCCCTTCCCAAAGCTCACCGACAGATGAGCATCATCGATGTCTTCCCCAAACTCCCGAATCAAGGAGATGATGTTTCGGTGGGATGCAGGGGCCCCTCCTTGAACCCCATAGTTGATGACCTGGCCGTTCATCTCCTTTGTGCACGCAACACCTCCCAAGCAAGGACAGGGCTCAATGATGGTGACCTCCACGTCCTTCAGAGATCGAGCCAAGCTCCATGCAGTCGACACTCCTGCAGCACCTCCCCCAATCACTGCCACCCGCTTTCTCTCTGCCATGGCGCCGGCCGAGCCCCGATGTTGCAGCTGACGCGAAGATGCGGCTCTCAAGTCTCCGAACGATTGCCCCTTTAAAGCTTTTGATACAGAGGACAGCAAGATTTGCTCAAGAGTTTCTGCTTCACTGCAACTTCACTGTGCCTGTCCCAAAGTCTTTCCAAAAAGGCCTGCGGAGAAAAAGCAGCTCAGGCATCGCAACACCCGCAACCCCTAACCCCAGCAAAGCATGTCGCTTTCGTAGCTCCCTTGCACTTTTCAGGTCCTCTGGTGGTTGTAGGACTGGGGGCTTAGGGTTTGAAGTTTGAGGGCTTGGGGGTTTCGAGGGCAGGAGCCCACGCCAAAAACAAAAAAGGGGTTGGGGTTCTTAAGGGCCCCCTAAACCTGCCTCAGGCCCGAGACCATCATGCGATCGTGGCTCCGCAACCCTCAACAAAGCGCACTGTTGAATACACTGGCCGTTACCCACCACTTTCCTCCGATGAAGTGGGCAAGGCATGCGAAAGGTGGCACTTGAATGAGGGGCAGACACAGCTTGGAGTTGGGCTGCTTGCACCATGCTTCAGCCTGGAATATGACAGAAGGGGGCCCCTTCAAGCAAGATGTACCCGGCGAAGGAACAAAAAATGACGAAACAAAAGCAGTAGACCCTAGAGGTCCCTACGCCCCAAGCGGCAGAGAGACATCCTTTTGCACGTCGCGCTGCAGGGGCGGCACCTCGAGCCTCTTTATTTAAAGCGAGGGTCAAGAATCCTACTTCTGAGGTCATCATGCTTTTGAGCCGCACCTTCGGGCTCTGCACCCTGATGCGGCTGTTCGCGATATGTACAAGAAGCTACGGGAGCGTTGCATAAATCTTGTCCTTGATGCGCCAACCATCAACCGTGTTGATCCAATGCAGGTTTGTGTGGAAGGATACCACCACCTCACCGCTCCTCACAAACCTGTCGTAAATCTCAGTGACATACTCATTGGGACCCAAGCTATAGTGCCTCACAGGGCTTGTGGCACCAATCATAACGGCACCCTTCATGCTTTGAAACTCAGCAGGAAGGCTGCTCCATGGCTTCTTTCCTTGGAAGACATCGTAGAACATGTCCAACATGGACTTGAGGCCTTTGTAGTCCATGACCTGAAAGCTGCCCAAGTCCTTCTCATCGGCCAAGGCAGACATGGACACCGTCTTGTGAAAGACACTTGGGAGCAGTGAGGCATCCATGGTGGTGAACAACTTCGTATAGCCCTCCAAACCTTCCAGGATTCCTGCAGGAAGTGGCTCCTGGCTGGCAAGAATTGTGGTAGGCCTTCCATCGGCCCTGGCCTTTTCCAGCGCCGTCCCAACCAACATGCCACTCAAGAGCAAAGCTACTGCGAAGCCCACACGCCGGACTAGCTGCGGCCGTGGGCCGGCATCTGCACCCAGCAGTGACGTGGCCATGTCTTTGACCATCGCTGAGACTGCTCGTGCTAGAAGGCTTGAGCTCAGCTGAAGTTGGAACGCATTTTCGGCAACTCTGGCCTCATTCTTGCAAACTTTGGATTCCAAACACAGCCCACTTCTTTCAAAAAATTGTTGCTCAAAGTGCCTCAAGGATGGGGATCAGGGCCGTTTAGGTAGCATTTTCGGCTCAGGGGTAGCTAGGATGCGAGCAATATAACATTCAAAAGGTTCGAAGTCAGACTTTGCTAGTTTTGCGGCTGAAAGCTTTCGCTAATGCGTTTGCATTGCAGACAACTTGTCGGTGACAAGCACCAGTACGGGTTTGTTCAGAAAAATGCAGCGATTACGACGCTAAACATGGAAAACAAATGCACCCAACTTTCAGAATCACACGTCAGCAGTCCTGTGCAAGCGGTTGTGAATGACTGTCATTGCTCCGCAGTGCAAGAGGCAGCGGTCTTTGCCAAGAGTTTGCTCAGAGAACGCTTCTGATGCGAAAAGATGCAGAGCGATGTCGTTCCTCCAAGCCACCTTGTAAATAGGATTGTTTGGAGCCAGCGCCGTGTGGAAGCACTAGTCACTAGTCCGCTACGCATGCGCATAAGGGAACTGCACAAAACACAACGAGCACTGTTTTGTCACGTGAAAAAAATCTCGGTCGGTCAGAACCGGAGTCAGGGTCGGACAGCTGAAACGAATCCAAGACCCACAGCATAGCCGTGCAGAACGCTGGAACAAAAACTCCAAAAATTTTCAGGCAGAAACTTGACCCACTGGATAGGGCCAGCGTTCTTCAAGCACGTGAAGGCCCACACCACACGGGCAGCGCGCACGATGTCCGGCGAAAGCCCAGAGACTACATGCAAACGGGCACACGCATTGTAAGACGACACCATGGCTAATCAAAGCTGCTGCACAGGAGGGTAACATGTGCGTATTGCAAAAAATTCCCGTGCTCGGGCCCTCGGCGAAATTATGGGCTTGCCACGCAGTTGTGTTTGAAGCGCATTATGCGAGGGAGCGCTCTGTTTGGTTCGTGTTTCAACGTGAAGCTTTTGAAGCTCTGAAGCTTCTTGTCTTCGCGAGCTTCGCCTGAAGCTTTTGAAGCTTTTGAAGCTTTTGAAGATTTTGAAGCTTTTGAAGCTTTTGAAGCTTCCTTGAAGCCTCAAGCTCTGAAGCTTCTCGAGCTTCGCGCTTCGTGTGAAGCCTGAAGTCTGAAGCTTCGTGAGCTTCGCGCTTCGCCTGAAGCTTGACGTTTGAAGCTCGCGAGCTTCGCGAGCTTCGCGAGCTTCGGGAGCTTCACGAGCTTCGGGAGTTTCGCGAGCTTCGCGAGTTTGCCGAGCTTCGCGCTTCGCCTGAAGCCTGAAGTCTGAAGCTTCGCGAGCTTCGCGCTTCGCCTGAAGCTTGAAGTCTGAAGATCGGGAGCTTCGCGAGCTTCGCGCTTCGCCTGAAACCAGAAGTCTGAAGCTTCGTGAGCTTCGCGCTTGGCCTGAAGCTTGAAGTCTGAAGCTCGGGAGCTTCGCGACCGGAATGGGCACGGAATGTCAGTGAACCGCCCTGAGAATCAGCCGCGTCTAACCATGCTCCTCCCCTCTGTGATTTGGGGCTTCGGAATTATAAGGTCTAGGGTATAGAGTTTAGGGTTAGAGTTTAGGGTTTGGGGTTTAGGGTTCGAGTTTGCAGCAACCCATTCCCCAAATAACCCCTATTATTCTCCTTATAAACCCATCGGAACCCTAAGTCATTTCCCAAGAAGGACCTTTAGATCAACCCCCCATTTTGGGTTGAGGGCAAAAACACCAGCTTGGCGGGAATCAGTGTCCCGCATGTATAGTGACAGCTACTGCTTGGAGTTCAGGGTACTTATAAGCCCCAACTAACTAAAAGTCTACTTATAAGCCCCCTAAATCCCCTAAGTAGGTTATAAGTAGACTTATAATTGGGGTTATAAGTACCCTGAACCTCCAAGTGCCATCGGCTGCATCAATCAAGCTCTGGTGTTCTCTAAACCCTCTCTTGCTGGCTCAGGAATGTTGGAGGTGTGGCCACACGGTGCCAGACGGTCCGAAACAAAGTTCTGTGCTATGCATCGATCACGGGCTGCAGAAATGCAGCTACCTGAAGCCTAAACCCTAAACCCTAAACCCTAAACCCTAAACCCTAAACCCTAAACCAACCCTCAGTCGGTGCAGGGCTTAAATCGCCACCTCTCTACATTATGTTTTTGTTTTTTTGGTTGGAGAGGGGGTTTAGGGTTTAGGGTTTAGGGTTTAGGGTTTAGGGTTTACGGGTTACGGGTTTAGGGTTTAGGGTTTAGGGTTTAGGGTTTAGGGTTTAGGGTTTAGGGTTTAGGGTTTAGGGTTTAGGGTTTGGGGGGGGGGGTACCTTGAACATTCTGAGGGCCGCAGGAAAATAGGGACCCAAAAAAGGGGACGTAATTTGGAGAACCGTGCATATAACTCTATAGAGTTGAGGGCTTCGGTCTTCTTGGGTCGCACCCTAAACCCCAAACCCAACACCCAAAACTCTAAACCCTAAACCCTAAACCCTAAACCCTAAGAACTATGTGTGAGCCTCTCGCGGATCAGCACCGACGCAATCCCTACGCCCTACGGGTCCATGTACCTAAAAAGTACCCCAAAGCCTTTAGGGTTTAACTAGGGTTTAAGGTTTAGGGAACTGCTCGATGGGGCTTTTAATGGAACCTAACAAAATACAAGCAATGATCGTACCACTGGGGGTCTCAAAACCACGTCACCAGAGTGTTTGGGAGTATGCTTGGAGGTTCTTGGGTAGTTGTATCTGGACATGAGAGTCGGGAATACCCTAAAGCCAAAAAACTCTAAACCCCAAGCCACTCTATACCAGTACCTGGCTATGACCTTACTTATTCGGGATACTTTTAGCCTTACTTAGAATTGCTCAGGAGCCTTCAAGTGAGCAGGACAGGGGTTTAGGGTTTAGGGTTTAGGGCTCATTTTACTGCCCTGCCATGCGTTGCAGCGTCCTCGTTGCTTGGTGTCCCATCTTTGCTACACACAGCAAGCACGTCTTTGCTGGTCTTTCCTCTGTATTGCTCTGTTTAAGGTTTACAAGGGAACCGAACCCATGATACCAACAAACAGAAAACCGTGTCATGGGGGGGGGGGGGGGGGCGGCCTGCGTTTTGAGACATTCACACATATTCACACACACTCTATCTCTCTCTCTCTCTCTCTCTCTATATATATATATAATCCTCATTGATCGATTCATTTATTCATCTACATATTTCTTTATACTTATTTATTATACTTAGGAAACTGAGCATTCAAATTCAAATCGATGACTCAATATGTTTAAGCACCTTAAGTTTTGATAGCTGGCCTGAACCCCCCCCCCAACCACAACACACACACACACACACACCCCTCTCCTGCTTATTTTCAGGAGGTTTATATAGGGGCCTAGGGACAGTAACTCACTGTAAAGGTGAGTGGGCTTCTAGGGATTGCGAACCAAAAACCTTGACGAGGTTGGCCCTTCTTACTTCCCCCAGAACGAAGGAAATAAAAGGTTAACGTTTCTTGATCCTAGAATAAAATAAGGAAGCCCAAAAAGTTTCAAGTTCGACTATTGTGGCTAAGTAAGCCTTTAAAACCTCTCAAGGGTCTACCTAGATGGCTCCCGGGGGGGAGGGTGACGGTTCAGGGTTTAGGGATGACCCTGAACGCCGGGCCCAAACGCCATGAATGTCCATGTGCAAAGATGTTCATTGCTGCTCTTCTGGATGCGAAGCCGGCTGCAGCAAGTTCTCAATTTGAGCGTGGCCCTCCTGCGATGCCATCATCAGAGCTGTGACACCGTCGTTGTTGACCAAATCGACGTGAGCGCCGGCCTCAAGCAGCAACCGCGCGACCTCAACGTGGCCATGTTGCGATGCCATCATCAGAGCTGTGACACCGCTGTTGTCGGGCGAGTCGATGTGAGCACGGGCCTCAAGCAACAAACGTACAATCTCAGCGTGGCCTTGTTGAGATGCCACCGTCAGAGCTGTGACACCATCGTTGTCGGCCAGGAGGGCACCCGCCTCAAGCAACAAACGTACGACCTCAGTGTGTCCGTCGTGAGATGCCACCAGCAGAGCTGTGAGACCGCGGTTGTTGGCCATGTCGATGTGAGCACCGGCCTCCAGCAACAAACGTACGACCTCAATGCAGCTGTTGTGAGATGCCAATATCAGAGCCGTGTGACCGTTACTGTTGGCCAAATGCATCTGAGAACCAGCCTCAAGCAACAAACGCACAACCTCAACGTGGCCCTTTTGCGACGCCACCATCAGAGCTGTGAGACCGCCGTTGTTGAGGTCGTGAGCACCGGCCTCAAGCAATAGATTCACCACCTCGACGTGGCCTTCCTGCGATGCCATCTTCAGAGCTGTGTAACCGTCGCTGTCTGCAAAGTCAATGCGAGCACCGGCCTCAAGCAACAAACGCACAACCTCAACGTGGCCGCTATGAGATGCCACGATCAGAGCTGTGTGACCCTCGTCACTCGCCAAGTGGATGTTTGCACCGGCCTCAAGCAACAGCCGCGTGACCTCAACGCAGCCCTGTTGCGATGCCGCCATCAGAGCTGTGAGGCCACCGTTGTCGGGAAAGTCGACGCGGGCACTGGCCTCAAGCAACACGCTTGCGACCTCAACATGGCCGCCGTGAGATGCTGAAATCAAAGCTGTGACACCTTCGCGGTTAGCCAAGTCGATCTGAGCACCGGCCTCAAGTAGCAAACTCACGACCTCAACGCTGCCCTTTTGCGACGCCACCATCAGAGCTGTCCAGCCCCTCTTGTCAGCCATGTCCGGGTCGGTGGGACGCTGCAGCATGGACTCCACCTGGAGGCTTTCCAAACCCTGAAAACCCCCAACCCTGGCTGTTCTTCCTGGAGCTTCTATTCTAGCAGACTCTGCGATCTTAATTCCTTAAACCCTAAACCCGAAATGGGTCCTGGCCTCAGCCACAGCGCCATGT